CCTCCACCCCCCACCAACTTTTTTGCCTCCTTCAGCTGCCCCTACTTTCATGAAATTGGTCAACAAATCATGGCAGGGCTAAGAGGAGGGTGTGGAGAGTTAGTAATGCATGGACATCCATAAACACATGCACACAGAGAAATATTTAATTACATTCCTCCTGTTAATAGCCTAGATAGGTATAGCTGTGATGGTGCTGGAGGGCTACAGCTCCTTCAGCCTATCTGAATTAGGTGTATGGATTGTTACAAGACTCTGAAGCAAATCAGGGGTGTTATTTAAGAGGGAAAAGCCATCATGCAAACAGAGAAGGCAACACCAGAATGATAATTTCCACAAGTGGTCAGCAGGATAAGGCCTGACCTGTAAAAGTGAGCAGGGAATCAGACCCATGAGCGTTGTTTACAACATATTTTCTCTCTAAACCTACCTAAAGCTGAGTTACAAGACCTTAGCTCCTAAAACATACGGTTGTTCTTATGCTCTTGCATGTTTATACAATTTGGTTTAGGCTTGAAAATAAATTCAACTAGCTTGTAGAACAGTTGGTGAGACGATACAAATCCCAACAGAGCCCTTCCTACAGCCCCAAGAAGTGATCAGGCTTGGAATGTTACACCAGGAGTGCTAACCCTATAGCGGCTCTCTGGGAGCACAGGCAGCTCCTCCAGTGATTTGAGGCTATCAGATGATGGCAAATGGCTAAGGAAGGAGAGAATCAACACATACTCAAGGTTGGGATTTCCAAATCGTACTTTTGTTGCACACCAAACCAGGTCAGACGGTCTGTTTGGCAGCAAGCTCCTGTTCAGGAACTTTGGGTGTTTTTTCCCCTGCTGAGGCACAGTTTTCCTAATTCTGTTTATTCCTTGAGGAATTCTGAAATGGAGGCAAGGTCCTGCAAAATAATTGTAACTGAGCTGGTACGACTAAGCTATACTGTAGGAAAGTCAGCTGAACAGCAGATTTCTCTTTTGTCACAGCTACGATTTTCATGGTTGATGCAGGTTTTAGGAAAGCTGGTTTTTTTCCCCTGCTGAGGCACAGTTTTCCTAATTCTGTTTATTCCTTGAGGAATTCTGAAATGGAGGCAAGGTCCTGCAAAATAATTGTAACTGAGCTGGTACGACTAAGCTATACTGTAGGAAAGTCAGCTGAACAGCAGATTTCTCTTTTGTCACAGCTACGATTTTCATGGTTGATGCAGGTTTTAGGAAAGCTGCTCTGCAGCATCTCTTCAGATAAGACCTACAATCACAGAATGGCTTGGCAGTCAACCAGAATGGAGCACACTCAAAGAAAAGACAGAAGTATACGTTAAGTGTTGCTCCTTGCTAATATGCATGGCAGATGCCTGTTTCACAGTTTAGCTTTTGACAGCCAGCTATGATGTCAGATAGAGCTGTACCTTATGAAGCAATTTCACTTCCTGTTACTTTGAAATTTGCAAGTGCTTCCACACCCAGAAGACAACTTCTGAAGAACTGCTTGCCAGTATTATTTCCACCTAAGAGATTTTTCTTTTAAAAACTTAAAAAAAAATAATACTGAAAGCATTAAAGAATTATGAAAATCACATTTTTCTTTGCTGCCTTGTTCTTACTGGATCTCTTTGCTTGCTGTCATGCTTATCTGCAATATCCCTTGCCTGACATAGAAGATGCAAAGTTCATTGAAGACTGTGTGAGAGCTCACAACACGTTTCGATCCAAAGTGAATCCACCAGCCAGCAATATGTTTCGCATGGTAAGGCGGTGTTTGTCATCTCTGTGAAAATTAATATAGATCGTGCTGCTGATTTAGCCCATCTTATTCTTCATTTGCTTTGTGCTTTTCTTTCCCTTTCTGTCAATGATTTCTGTACTATGTATGTTAGTTCTTTGTAGGAAATAGTAAGGACATTAATTTTCACAGTATTGTTCAGTTTTCATAATTTGAAGGGAATTCCTTGTTTAGGGACGGATTGCTGCTCTAGACTTCAGCCAGAGCAAAGGGCTGTATTGCAAAAAGTAGGGTTCAGTTCTCAGCATTTCATTTACCTCTTTCTAAGACAGATAGTCATCTGTTTTATGTTAGTCCAGGTTTCATACAGGGAAACTGTTTGGTATTAAAAAGCTCCTGAATAGGCAATCTGCACAACAGGGTTTGTTGAAAATCTATTGTCTCCCCTTGTTTCTTCCAATCTAGAACATGTGTTGAAGCAAGGGATTTGCCAGGACATCCATTTAGATACCTGATCTTCATTTGCTGTAACAGGGTCTGAAGAGTAAGGATACGAATATCTGGGCTGGAAAGCAGAGCTTCCTATAAATACAATGGATCTCAGAACAGGCTATGCATAGGTCTCAGCTTGTTCGGTGGAATAAATACGGAAAAAGGTGAATAGATAGCTGAGGAAGGTAACCTCCATCAGTTCAGGTCGTTACTCTCAGCCCTCCAGCTACATAGCTGCAAAGGAAGTTAAATGCGTAACCACATGCACAATATGAATCATCTCTCTGAAAGGAAGTTCATAGTAAAGGGGTAGAATTCAGATTACTTGTGGTTTTTATTTCTTGGCATTTTAAAAAACAATGTTTAATTTAAAATGCTAGCACACAAGAACAAACTTAGCTGCTCAGACCAAAGATCCAGCAAGCCTGGAATAACAGCATGACAAATATATAGAAATCTCTGGAATCAAAGGTGTTGCATTGTATTTAAAAGCTCTTGATGGATTTTTCTTGCATGATTTCTTTTTCAGCCTTGAGCTCATGCAAGTTTTTATCGTCCCTAGAATCATGCAGCAAAGAGCTGCACAGCCTAACCACAAGTTGTGTGAAGATACCTCCTTGCATTTGTTTTGGACCTGTTAATTCCTAGCTTCAGTTGATAGTCTCTGGTCTTTGTATTGGAAGGAACAAGTAATTATTGCTTAGTTATGACATGTCAAGACAGAGAATGAAACTGAATGCAGGGATGGAAAGCAGAAAAGGGGAAAAGAATCCTTACAAGTTTCTGTTTAAAAATGTCTGAATTCAGTTAAGTCACTGCAGTGCAGGTTATATTATGTTTTCTTCCTTTTCTACAGTCCTGGGACACTGCTTTAGCTAAGACTGCCAAAGCGTGGGCAAAGAAGTGCAAGTTTAAGCACAATAACTACCTTAAAGTGCCGGGGAAGGTGCACCCCACCTTTACCCCTGTTGGAGAAAACATCTGGACTGGCACAGCCACCATCTTCTCTGTGGATGCAGCTCTCAGTGACTGGTTTAATGAAGTCAGCAGCTATGATTTCAACACCAACAGGTGTACTGGCATGTGTGGTCACTACACCCAGGTAAGTCTTACATGCCCAATGGTTTATAATGTAATGGTTTCGTTGCATTGGAACAGACTGCTTTGGAACAGGAATTACAGCAGGGATTTTCACCCCCTGGTTTATGGCTACATGAGATTGGAAATAAATATTCCGAGCCCCAGGGATGTCCAAGTCCTATTTCCAGTAATGGTGGAAAGGGATTATCCCCTGACAATTTCATGTTTCCAGGGGAGCCAGATAATAAATTCAAAACTATCTATCAATCAGTTGTTTGTCTCAGTTGCCCTTTGGGTTGTCGATGTTGCTCCTGTATCAGCTGTTTTAAACTTCCACCAGATCCTTCCCTTCTCCTTCCTCCCTTAATGCTGTTCCTTTGTCAGCCTTTGAACAGGTGTATTACCTATTTCCCTTTGCCCTTCAGGTCGTTTGGGCAGAGAGTTACAAAGTTGGCTGCGCAGTTCACTTCTGCAATACAGTTGAAAACTTTCCAGGACTCATCAAAGCAGCACATTTTGTTTGTGACTATGGGCCAGCGTAAGTTAATTATGGCATTTGGGGGGTTTTAATTTTTTAAATATTCTGTACCTGACCTGGTATCAGATGTCAACAATGATGGGAGCAGTTGTAACAAATTTCAGAAGAAGCGATGTCCGCATGTCACAGATCCAAGGGGAACTTCCCCCAGGCATTGAGAGCAGAAGCTGCTGGACATAGCCGGAGCTATGAAAATGCCCTTTCTAAAAAAGCAGGCGAGCAGACCATAGCTGAGAGCACTCCCCATAACCATCCTGGTGGAGTAAAATCTGTTTTGACTTCAGTCTGTGCAAGAAAAGTGGGAAAGGTGCAAGCTTTCCGCTTGAGAAAGATTACATCTTTCTGTGGCCCCACCCGAACTTCAAACAAGACGTTTTAATTGAAGAAATAAAAGGAAGACACTCTAGTTTATCTCATACCTTGCAATTTCTGGACTTACCTTTTACAGATTTGTTTTTAAAATACAGGTGGGTGATGCAGGACTAGAGGCAGATTCTTGTGTGCTTACACTGAAAATAATACAGTATTGCCTGAGAAGTCTCATTAATTTCCAGTTGTGACAGCCAGCAGGTAGCTGCTCCCCATGCCAGTGAGAGTTTTAATCTGATTTAAAAGGAATTTCAAACAATTGTAATGATCAGGTTTTGGATACAGGGATTTCCCCCCCCCCCCATAGCTTTTCATGATAACTTATTCTAACAGTCTGATGAAACCATGTATTTAAATTGCTTTTCAAATGACTGAGCTAACAAAATACCATTGTTCTGCTTTGCAGGGGGAATTACCCAAGAAAACCATATGAAGCAGGACGACCATGCAGCAGATGCAGTAATGAGAAGTGCATAGACAAGCTCTGTGGTAAGAAGAAAGAGATCAACTAAGAAAACAGCATAGAAATAAGAGTGGCATAATTATCAGTGGAAATACAATAAGTCAATTTGCACTAAGTACCTAGTGGGTCTGTAGCCCACCACACAGCAACAGTACCAAACCCTGGTATGAACAGTGTAAGAAGGAATTAAGTGAAATACTTTGCTGTTGAAGGCTCTCAGAGGTAGGAGCCAGAGTTTCTGATGAAGAGAAGTATCAGTTAGACTACCTTCTGCCTTTTATCTGATCAGGATGTCAAATCTAGAAATTTAGCCTCAACAAATATTCCCCATCTAGTTCTTTTTTCCTAGCAGAAATAGTATATTTAAATTCTGCTTTCTTGCCTGTTTAGTATGTCCTATCACATTTTACAGATAACTATAGTTCTGAACCAATAATAAGACTATACTGAAAAGCATACGTAGTTGTAACTTCCGCAATTTTCTGAAACACAGCAGTAAGAGCTTGTTTTTCCACAGCAGTTTGCAGCTGTGGACCTTTATGTCATTACATCTAGTCTCAAATTAGTCAGAAATAGTGTTTTAAATAAACAGAGATTAAAGGGCATGCAACAATGTCTTAAATCAAATAGAAATTTTATACAGAGGTTTAATGGGGATGGTCTCTACTAGGCAGGCTCTAGATAGCTTCAACTGTAGAAATAATTGAGCATTTGGTACTCTTATTTCCTTCTGTGATATCCTGGCTGACTCATCTTGAAGTCTCAGACTGGTGAATCACAGGAAAACCAGAAACATCTCAAAGACTATGGGGAGGGAGAGGAGGAAGAGAGCTTTTAAAAATTACGTGCTAGATCCTACAACCTCGTTTACCATATTCTCCTATAGGACAAATCAGCAATTCCAATAGGATGCACATAGGCAATCCTGCAAATGCAGCAAAGCTCTTAGTAAAGGTGTGCTTCTGTGATAAATTTGGTAGTTATATTTGTCTGTAACTACTTAAATTTCATTTGTGTATCAATTTTAAATAAATTCCATGTTTCGTTTTTATTTGCTGTTCCCTCCTCTCCATGATGCAAATTCTTCCTAATACAGCCGCTTCTTTTCTGCTTCTCTTTCAATTCAATAAAAAATAGGAGCCCACACCAGTTGGGAACCTGCTCTTGTTGGCCTGCTTCCCGCGGCAGGATGTTTTCGGCACTGACTGGCATTGTCAGTGCAATCAGCCAGGCACCAGCAATGGCTTACCTCTTTACATTAAGAGCCACCACAGAATGACACTCATTTATTTCCTCTTCTGATCTCTTTACAGAAAATACAGAACGTGAGAAGTTGATAGGTACGTATCAAATTGTTCTTAATTGCTTTCCTATAAGTATGGCTAAGCTTGATGGGTCTTAACACCTGTTTCGTCGCTGTTTTTTAGATTATGCCTACTGGTATCCGGACTGGGATATACAGCCCCAGCCACCACGGCCCCGTCCCTCGAAGCCTCCTGCACCACCAGACATCCCACCTGCGGAGCATCCGCGTCCCTCTTGTGACCAATACTGTCTTAGTGTTTTGATTTTAAGGCCACTGTTTTTGGTACTGAGTGCTGGTGCTGTTCTTTTAATACAACAGGGGTTTCCACACACCTTTTTTTATGAGTAATGATCAATTAAGTTACTGATAGTGATCCTACCGCTGTATTACTCTCAGAGAATTGCACACATTTAAAAAACACTTGTTCATCTCTCCATTATCCTTGTGATGTTTATCCAGCATAGAAAAGGCTGCTTCTTCACTCAAGGCAAGATATAAGTGGCTGTACGGGCCTCTTAGCCCTGGCCCAGGGGTAGATTGCTAAAGGGACCATGTAGACTATATATTAGTATATATGCCAACAAGGCTCCTGGAAACCTGGGGCATCACAAAGACATGTCTGAAGCAGCACACTGTATGCAAAAGAAGCAATAAGTCATCTCCATTAACCTTCAATTATCCCAGACATTGTTTTCCCTAGATAATGGAGATTTACCTGCATGTATTACTTTTTATGAACAGAAGGAGTAAAGCTTGTCTTTTACTATATTCAGCCTATGTCTATCAGTTTCCATTAAAGTTACTCTATTGTCAGTTGTACTATTCTGTTCTTCTTCTCTCAGAGCTAAGCTTTGCCCTCCATAGCTAGAAGAATATCAGGGAAAGGTGACAGAGCAAGGACTAAGATGGAGTGTCAATGAGGACAGCTTAATTTTAGGATGTGAGATGGTGAGAAAATCTGAAATGCAGAGTAGATGACAGCATACCTGAGCTTGCAGGCAGGGGAAGGGGGGGAGCAGGGAGGAAAACACAGGAGAGGGAAGATGAAATGGGCCCAGAACAGATTCTGGTTCAGAAATGGAAGATCTCAGCCTCATTAAAAAAGCCCAAACTGTTGATGGATTCAATTTGTTTTTAGAGACATTAGCCCTCAACCCCTATTTTTCCTATGTACATTTGTTAGTAAGGGAAACAAACCCATCTTTCAAGCTAAGAGATACTGGCTGATATTAGCAATGCATAACTGTTATCACTATTTAAAGCTGTTTCTCCTCCTTTATCTTAGTCCTAATGTTTTGAGAACAGAGTGACTCAAATTGGGAGCCACACTGCAGCTCTAAAGGAGCACGGCATCCCACAGAATAAAAATGAGCCCCAAATGTTCGGGCTTTTGTCATATGCTGCAAAATGTTGCCATATAAGAAGATACATATTTAATTTCATAATTGTCAGTTCTCATCTGCTGCCCTCTTTTACATATAACAACAGCAAGTGGCTAGGGCTGGGCAAGTGGTTGGGAGGGGACACAGATGGGACAGCAGACCCAAATTGACCAAAGGGATATTCTGTATTATACAACATTGTGTTCAGCAAAAGAAACGGGGGAGAGGAAGAAGAAAGGTGGGAGGCTGGCTTCCAGGGTGGTCATTGCTCAGAGACTGTCTGGGCATCAGGCTGCCATTGGGGTGGTGAGTGATCGCCTTTGCATCACCGGGGGGTTTTGTTTGTTTGTTTCTTTCCCCCCCTCCTCTTTCCACACATGTTAAGCTGTCTTTATCCTGACCCACGAATTTTCTCACTTTTCTTCTTCCTGTTTTCTTGCCCTGTCCTGCTGGCGAAGGGGGAGTAAGCGAGCAGCTGTGTGGGTGCTTGGCTGCTGGCAGGGGTCAACCCACCATATTATTCTGCTCTAAAAAGTGTTCTGTAGGGGAGTTGTGAACATAATGTTTCTCATCCACAATTCTCTCAGAGAGACTTTTCACCTGTGGTGTCTCCATGAGGTGTGTGACCCACAGGACCTAATGTGGGCTGGTGAGGCTGCGCTTGCAGGCTCACAATGTGACCCCAGACCACTAACCTGTATGTGCAGAAGTGATAATTGGAACCAACATCCAGGTGTTCAAAGGATGCAGATTCCTAAAATGAAACCTGGAGTGGGAAGAAACCCACCCTGATTTCCACAGAGAAGTCCAGGCTGGAACTGGGGGAAAGGGCCTCAGCTTGATGGACTGGTGGTAGTTAAGGGCAGTGTGAGGAAGAGGGTGGTGATGGTGGTGGGTCTGAGCAGCGAGTGTTGGGCACCCAAGGCAACGTGCATGGGGCATCAGCTCCCAACTCTTGGCTGTGAAACCCAGTGTGGGCACCTGGCACGAGACAGCACCAACCTTCATAGCACCCCGCTCTGCTGGGGGCTTGGGTTGCAGGGAATGAATTACAAATTGCTAAAGCTTGGGACGAGAAATTGATAGCAACAGATAGCACAAGCGTGTGATCACAGGAGAAACCCATCAATAACTGCAGCATATTTAAATTGCATTTCTCAGCCAAACTTACCCTTCCAATAACTCAATGTACAACCAAAGGGACTGTTCATACTGTAGTAAAAGTCATAGTTCAAATCAATTATTTCTCACAGCATGTTGGCTCAGAGTAACAGCCTTAACAGCAAAGCTATTTTCATGAAAAGCAGGATATTTATCCAAAACTTTACTGCAATCCATAGTGATTGCTATGGATGGGATGGTGGGGGCCAAAGAAACAAAAACAAAGAAGCCCAAAGGACAGCAGAGAAGCAGCTTTCCTACCACAATTAAAGAAAGAAGAAAAACAGAGAGAGACAAAGCTGCCACAGCTCTGATGTGAACTTGTAGCTTAATTTCCTCATTCTCATAGCAACGTTGCTGAAATACGACTCGTTTCCTGTGACCAATGCCATATTCAATTACCATGGCTAAGATAAGCCCAGCCCACAAGCCTTCCAAGCAAAACGCTGCTGGTGGAGCTAAACCCACCTCATACAGCTGAAACACTCTGCTTTTAGAGCTGGAAACCCAGAGACTGAGAATCATGACAAACAGATTTTCTGCTTGTGTGCTGGCTTTGCTGCACTTCTGTCGTTCCTCTGGCTCCTATGAACCACCAACATTGCCTGACGTTGGAGATCCAAATTTTATTGAGGAATGTGTGCGAACCCATAACAGATTCCGGTCTGGAGTGAATCCACCAGCCAGCAACATGCTCTACATGGTAAGGGGATCTTCATGACTTACATGCAAGTGTGTAGCATTGTGATGGTGTTTACAATTCTCAAAGATTGTTTTTGTAATCAAATGCAGAAAAAAAAAAAGAAAAAAGAAAAAGAAAACAACCTCCTGGGGTCATAAGAGCTACTTGTTTTTAAAGGAGAGAAAAAGGCTCTGATTATCAGATAGCTTTATACGATCCAGTACACGTAGTTTTGCCTGGCTTAATTTCCTCGTTTGAAACCTCAGATTTCAACCCTCAACCTAACGCTCTTGTTTTGTGCTGTGAAAAGCCTCCTCGTTCCAAGGCACCACAGCTCAGCAGCCCGGGGTGTAATTTATATGCAGACCTAAGCACAACTTTCATACTTGAGTCGGCAAGGGCAGAGACTGTTGCCAAATGATGCTGGAGAGCTTTCTCTAAGCTTTCTTTACAGGGCTCTCACGGACTGAGCCAACAGAGCAGCTGTTCCTAGGTGCTGGGGCTGCAGGGGAAGCCAAAAAAGCAACAAGTGCAGCAGGAGCGAGCACTGGAGGCATCAGGTCCCACACCGCTCTACCCCCCTGCCTTCACCCTGGCCACATCAGGGGACAATATCTGCAGCCACCGGACAAAAGACAGCCTGTCATGATGTAAAATATACCCAAAAGTGGCCACCTCTCATTTCAGATGGCTCGTGACGCTCTCTGCTGGGTGGCACATGGAAAACCCAGCAAGGAGGAAGCTGTAAATGCTGGGCTTATGGCGGAGAAACCCATCTCTGATTTGTGAGATGTTCAATTCTAGTATCTCGGGAGCTGTCTCTTGCAACATCCATCACCTTTTGTGCTTTGACTGGGTAATATGTGAGATACTATGTTTCTTCTTGGGATAATCTCCACAGATCTCTCAGATGGACCATAGTGATTGTCCTAATTCTGATCTCTTTCCTTTTGCGCCTCTTTCTTACTGTCTCGCACGGTCACCACCAGAAGAGGACATAACCACGCCTATAATTAGCAAAACCCCAACCAAAGTTAAAAAAAAAAAAAACAGCTTATTTTCCATTTGCGGTTGTCAAACACTAAAAAAGAAGTGTCCATTAAGGAGGGGTAAGTGAGCAGCGAGCAAACTTGAGTTGCAAGCCTGACAGGAAATTATTTAGTTTCTCTTCTAGATGTATCTCGGACTTCAGCTTTCTTGAGCCGGGCATCCTGAACTTCCAGTACATATTGCTCCAGACTCCGTTTTCTAGGTTGCTTTACTGGCCCTAAACTAACAAAAATCTTCCTATGATGTATTAAAATTCATCTTTTTAAATTGTGCCTAATTTTTCCTTTTGAAAAGAAAAGAACTGAAATCTGAAAAACCAGCTTAGGAAACAAACAAAAAGATGATTGCAAATAAAACAAGAGCTAAATCATGGTAAGTTTCTTTTAAAACACTGCAAAAACCCTAGTTTAAGTATGATCTCTCCCAGGAAGAATTTAATGTGGAGAAAGCACTACAATATGTGATAAAATGTGTTATGAAAGTAAAAGCATTGGAATTGAAAACAGCAAATTTCTTCATTTTTGAAAGGCCTTTAGCACTTCAAAAATGAGGAAAAAATGACTTCTTTATTTCACGTCGAACTTCTGTTTGCTCTAGATAAATGTCCACCTAGATATGTAAAAAAGACGACTATGAACTCAGGGCATTCCCACCTTTTGGAAAAATAGTTTTTAAAAGAAAATACAAGATAGAAGCTCCTTTAACTGCAAGTAACAAAGCCCAACCATCTATATTTGTAATACATTTATTATAAAAGGAGAATGCTGATCTAACATTTTTTTACCTCCCGTTCCCCCAAAGCATTACTTAGGTCTGTTCCAAGGCTCTTCAAAACCAGCAGAAAGAGTCTCACCGGTTTCATCAGGGCTTCGCAACAGTCTCCTTTGACTGACTGCAGCCTCGCGTCACTTTTCACTTACCATACGTTCAATTTTTCCTCCCTAAATCAGCAAGAAACTCCTCTGAGTTATAAAATCAAAACTGAGAAATACTTCATGGGAAACAAAATTTGTAATTACAATTTTCTGAAACAGCAATGATATCTATATCTAAATCTCCCTGTCCTGTGCATT